TAATTATCTTAAACAGCAATAAACTAAATTCTAGTTCTAATAGAAAATATTTCACATGCAGCTGTCTACAGAGAAATACACAAGCTTTAATACATGAGGAGGTGCTTTAAAAAACTTGTGACTTCTGTGGTCTGTACTGTACCTCTTTCAGGACTCTTGAAACCAATGTTGCAACTCTACTGACACTGATACTTAGCCAGCTTTCCTGTGTCTCAGCTACATCTCTTCAGCGTAGGCAGTTTAGACATGGCATTAAGCTTGACTGTCTGGATCATGGTATTGGTAGGAATGTGCCTACTTAACTGGAGCCTGCTAATGAGGTAATTGATATATTTGTGGCTCCTAAAAATACTTAGTAGGTAACAGGTGAGAGGATAAAAGGTTGCTCTGCAGTTGAATGCTTGATGTTAAAACAAAGTCTTACGGTAAAGATTAAAGTGCTTATTACTTTTGGTACTACAGACTTGTCAGCTATTGTATTTTAATGAAAAGCTATGCAAGAGTATGTATACAGCCTAAGCTGTCTTTAGGAGTTTCACATGATTTATTTCCTAAGAATTCCTGCACTACTGCAAAACATCTTTTTCTCCCAGTGCTGTCTGGCTGCCTTGGGAAGGTATTGTTACCGAGATGGTGGGATGGCATGCTTGTGGAGGCTATTAATTGCTGATAGGAACAGGTTCTTGATGTAGTTCTTTATCTCTTTAAATTGCTGTTAGCACCTTCCCAGTTGGCCTGAAATAGCAGTATTGTGCCTGATAGGCTTGACTTGTGTTAAGAACAAGTTTTACCCCTGAAGGTAAAAGCTTAAGGCCAATAACTTGCGTTCAAAAGCGTGGTTTATATCTGGCAAGGAAAACATGCTTCATAGCTTATTCATTCTTTATTCCTGCAAAGTATGAAATAAAGGAGCAAACATGATGGTTTAGGACTTGGTTGTGAGGCACTGTTGACTATTTATTACAGACTTTAGGCATACTTCCTGAAATTAAGATACTTCTCAGTTGTAATAGTTTTTCCCTACTGATGTGCCTGGTTGGCAATTTGAATGGAAGTTATTTGTACTCTGGTAACAAGTCTGTTGATAAGGCACTAAATATTGCAATATAGGTAGAGGAGTGGATTGCTGAACTTGATTTTTTTTTTTTTCTTTTGGCTAGTCAGATATAGAACACAACTTTCTACCATTGAAGCAAGTACAGTTTTTCACACTTCAGTAGATGTATTCCATTTACATTTGCTATTCTCTGAGAATGTGCAGCCATTTAAAATGCGATATGCTTGCCCACTGGAGAAACTAATTTAACTTTGGATAAGTGGCAGTTATTTGAAACTTGAGAAATGGGATTTTAAAGCTTTGCAATGAAGCGGTCAATAAGCCCACAACAGTGAGGAGCTGGTTTCAAGTGTGTTTTTGCAGATCTGCTGCAGAACTTGCTTCCAGTGAGAGCTGCCAATGACTCTCACAGATCATACTCTACTGTGCTTGAGTATAGGACAGCAGTTTCCAAACTGTGATTGTCCTGATGTCTGGCTATAGAAAATAATTTAGGAAATAGTAATGCCATGCACACTGATCATCGAAAAGGGAGTTTTGAAGAGCAGAAGCCCATGATAACATTTTATTGAGAATTAGTCTTCTTTTTTTCCCCCTGTTTCAGTTGGAGGCTTTGCTTCCAAGTTCAAACTTAACTTAGTAATGAAATAAGTAGTGTTCTCAAATATTTCAGTTACTAATTTTGTCAGTTTTTACTTGACAAAAAAATGTGCATAGCTGCAGTACATGTACTGATAACCATTGAAATACTATTTTTAAGGTGGATTTTTTTTGTTTCTACATTAAATGTGGGTAGACACTGCTTCTCTCAACTAGTGATGCTTACATAATTATACAGATTTTTAAAAAAAGGAGGAAATGCAAGAGTTAGACTTATTGTGAGCTTAATCTGCTTGGTACAAAGTAGTCCCAGATGTTCTTCCTTAGCTGTGCTTTAAACAATGGAACATGCCAAATACTAAGGTCATCTTGTTTAAATAGATTATGTTGGATCAAATCCAGCCTTTCTTTAGTTTTCTGTACTTAACTTTAAAATGCATATAGATACAGGCCAGTATCTCTGCAAAACTTCTCTCAAGTCTGATCCTGGGTGCTGCAACCCTTTGTTAGTCTGTGTATGCATCTAAAGCAAACCTGGCATCTTGTCTGTTTCAAGTTGCAGTTTTTTTCCTTGATGCTGCTCTAATCATCAAATGATGAACTTGCCCTTTATTTGTGTAAAGGCTGAACACATAACATTTAGTATATGCTTAGCTGTGGTTTCCGTTGTATAACAGTGAAGAATTGAGCAAAGGTCCCTAAATACCAGCTGTAGTACTAACAAGCATAACTAGGGACTTTCTTTGCATGGTGGGCTTTGGACTTAACATGCAATATTGTGTTGTTGATACTATGCTGTACTGACCCCTCATTGTTGGACTACTGGAAGACCAAAATTTGTACATTTTCTTCTGCTAATGTATTTGAAACTTAAGCCATTTCCCTGAAATGTGTGCATGGAGTTGCATTACAGCAATACTTAAAAGTGTCACTTGTCTGCATAAAGCTGAGGTTTTGACTGTCTGACCAGGTAAGAAGCTTGCAAAGGCTGAGACGTATGCTCTTGCAAAGCCTAAGATAGTTACATGCCCATTAATACTTAGGAAAGTACAAAATCAGATTTGTAGTAATGTACATATGGGGTTAGTGCAGCTCAGCATTAGGGAACTCTTCCTCACCTTTCATAAATGCTATGTCAGACACTGGGTGTTTCTTTAATGGCAAATGAAATGTTGTCAGTAGCAGTGCCAGAATGATTTGAACAGTTTAAAACATTACCTAGTTCAATTCACAGGAAGAACGTAATAGGATGTTAAAGGGAAAACATTAAGGGTGGCAATCTTACGGTGGTGGGTTGTAGCCAGAGAAAACTAAATCTTTCAGTATTCTTGTTAGTGAAAGTGTGATTCTTTTTTTTTCTAGGAGCATTTAAAATAGGTATAATATATATGTTTCACTCCTTGCATTTACCAGGTTTTTCAAGGTGAGCAGCCACTTGCATTTTCATATACACTTGAATATTAAGAACAGAGCTAAATCCAGTCAATGACATAAGCATAGAGCTGAATAAATCTGTGGGACTTGAGATGAGCATTAAAAATAACCTTTTAATTTGATATGCAGATTTGAGTGTCTATGCTGTCATGTCTATAGTTGCAGAAGAGTATTTCATCAAGGGTCACTAACTGGGGTGGTAGGGTAAACCTCACTTTGATTTTAAGTATCTGGTTATATCACTGAATTTGTAAGCTTGTTCAGATGTGCTCTTAATTGTGAGTGCTTTTAAAATGTGTAAGATTTTCTTAAACTCATTTTTAATAGCTTCAGTCTCATTTAAAAGGAGGCTATAGTGTGAGTCTGTAAATTAAGTGTGTTCTGGTTGAATCATGTATAGATATACTATTCTGGTGTAATACTGAGTATTAGTAGTAAAGGTACAGAATTCAGTTTCAGGAATCATTCTCCTGAATTAGAGAACTGAGGGAGAAATTAAAGCATTTATTTGCTGGAATGTTTAGAAAAGCTGAAGAATGTCTAGATATTTTAATTATACTTACAACAGAATCTAAAACTTTGACTTTGTGAACTGACCAATTTTCTGAGGGGAAAGATTGGTGGCTGCTGGAGGAAACCTGTCAATGGAATTAACAGTGAGTGCTCTGTCATGAAGTACAACTACAGGGCTTTTGTGGTGTCAGTAAAGGGTGAGAGGTCTGACTCCTGAGGACGGATTATGCTGACAGTTGTATGGGCAAGCTAAGCTTGCTTGGTGATGAAAAATTGGCATTTCTTTCGTGCTCCCAGCTGCAAGGGGTCCTGCAGCATCTCCAGCTCTGCTGATGGGTAGCTTAGTTTTATGCTGGGTTAGTAAATCTCTTGGTTCGTGACAGGTCTGGGAACAAGAGCCAGCACAATCTGCAGGTGGAACATGCTGTGGGAAGGGAGGGATGGGAGAAGTAGGACAGCTGGCAGTCTTGTATTATGTGACGTCAGGATGCTGTATTTGTTCCTGTCTTATTTATAGCAAAATTGACTATATTGGATTCTACTAATCTGATGTAGACACAAGACTTAAGTTGACAACTAAAGTAGTTTTTTGCAAGTCTGTCCTTTCTCATTAGGACTTGAAATATTTTGGTTTAATTTGAGCCCCCTCGATTTTTTTTTTCAAATTCCTTGTAGAATGAATAATGTTAGACAGTAAAGAATTGAAATATTAAACTTTTACATTTATACTGAAATCTAGCACTGTGGCATCGACTTGCCCTGTATGAAAATAGTTTGGTTTATTTTCTTTTAAGTATAATATTTGAAACTATTTACTCTAAGTCTTCTATATCTTCTAGAGGTAGAAGAAATTCTGTGATCCTGATTGATCAAAGAGGAATTCAGGCCATTGAAATCTGTTAGTTTTTAGGGATGGTTTTCAGCTAAATTAGGAACTTGACTCTATGCTGGTCAATTAGAACATCTTAATGCTAACTTGCTGTTTTATTACTCAAGTAGTTACCAGTGACTTCTGATTGAAGTGCATGGAGGTTCAACCTAAAGCATACCTTAAAATTAATTGCTATAACTTATCTTTGTACATGTGGGATGCAGGATTTAAGGTTATCTTGACAACCCTAGTTAGAAGCTTGGGGTTGCTGTTTGGCAGTTGTCTGCATGCAGCAGACTACAGTGTAACAGCTTCTGATGAATACTTAGCCATTGAGAGCTAAGAAATTGGATGTTACTGTTATAGGCAGTCCCTATATAAGAAGTCTTCCTATTTTGTGCTCTCAGATCCAGTAACTCAAGACAAGAGCTCTAGTCTTGTTTGGGCTACACTTTTTACCCGGGGCTCCAGAATGCTTTGGTTTGTTTAACCTGTTGTTTGTGCTTTTCTATAATTCCTTTACAGGATTGAGTGGGACAAACTTCTGGAGAATGTGCATTGTTTGATCATAAGTGTGACAAAAACTGACAAGCAGGAAGCTTATGTACTCAGGTAAGCCACTACTGCATTCTTTTAGTCTCTTAAGAGGTGGAAAAGTGAAAGCTGTCATATGGGACCAATTTTGGGTTAATATGCTGCTGTTGATGGCTACAGCTTGCAGGGGTCTGCTAATCACAGTACTCTCATGCTTCTGTTCAGAGGTGGAAATGTCTTCACAGTTACTGCTGTTTCTTTTTTCCTCTGACTGAAAAGATTGACGGAGCTGTGGTGGTTCTGCACCTGATCACCAAATTTTGTCCGGGGGGTAAATAAGTCTCCCCAGTTAAGAGGCTTAGTATTACCTTAGCAGAATAGTGCATATAGGTGTCACTTACAGATCAGCAAAAAAACTATCAGTGGATTGGCTTTAACTGCAGATAATATGGAACAACCCTTGCATCTGAGCTAAGGACATCTATAAAAATGTAGCTTTCCTGAAATCCTGGAATTTTTGTGTTGTGCAGCAGTTAGTTGTAAGGACACCTCTTTCGCCATATGTTTTTCATCTTGCAAAATACTTTCTTGCTTTTTCTATGTGAACTTTACAGATACGTTTGACATTCTCTGCTTTACTTCAGATTACAAATACTGAAGCTTTTGTACTCTGAAAGACTGTCTTGAGGGCAAGGTTGGGCTTAAGAGCAAGCTAGTCAAAGAAACTGTGCTGAAATCTTATTTCTTCAAACTTCATGTATTTTAAACAAAATTCTGAAAAGAGTCTAGCTAGTTACACTGCATCTTGGATGAAATATAGTCTTGACTTTGAATTTGTAAACAGCATTCCAAATTGCGTTATTTAAGCTAATTTTTACTCCCATTGTTCAGTTACTTGGTGAAAAGATACTTGTTAAGTGTGTTTAAATACTCTGGATGTAGTATCAATGCCTATCTTCAGTGGAACTGCAGTTAAGTATCTGACTTAGTTTATGTATAGTTAATTTCTGTATCTTTACAGGCATATCATATACCTGTGCCTATATTCTCATAGTGAGACTTCATGTTCCCGTGGACTGGTGCTAATTTACCTTTTTCTAGTAGTCTACTTTCCTAGAAGATGCAACCAGACAACTTAAAATTCTGTTAAGGCTTTTGCCTTCTTGGAGTTCACCTTCTCATAGGCTTTGTCAACTGAAAAAGATTACAAGTTTGTTCTGTGTCAGGGTTAAGGCATTACATTCAATGTCTATGCTGTGTACCCACTTTACAGCATGTTTGTATTTCTCAAATAGTTTGAGGATGTCTAATACATGTATTATGTCTTCCTGTAGTGGGGTATCTCCATAATACCATGCTTGGAGCAAGTATTTGTTTTGGGAAATCATAATTGCTCTCGAATGTTAGCTGAAATCTACTGTTTTGGTCCATTTGCCAAACATGTTTATGTACCATATGCTGAATACTCACTTAGAGTAATGCATTTGGTGGGGATAAGAACTAAGAACTGGATTGTTTTATGTAGAGCACTTAATATATTTTTCACACCTTTTTTACAGTGAGAGTAGCATGTTTGTCTCCAAGAGACGTTTCATTTTGAAGACGTGTGGTACCACCCTCTTACTGCAAGCACTGGTTCCCCTGTTGGAGCTTGCTAGGGAGTACAGTGGGTTTGACTCAATTCAGGTAAGGTGTCAAAAATGTTGCATCTTCCTTAGAATGTACACAAGCTTTTTTTTACCAGTATTTCAAATTCACTGATTCTATTAAATATTCTGGAACTTTGACATTTATGTACGCTTCCCATAATGGGAAGATTGTAATATAAGATTGCTCTGCTGTAGCATTTACCCTTCTGTTTGCCTCTTAATGGGTGCAAACTATCAAATGCTATTGATATCAAATGCTGAGTTACTTAAGGATGAAAGACTTCTGTGCCCATGCTGTCAGTGCTGAAGTCACTGGAGTTTTCTAATGGAAAACAAATTTGGAAGTAAGCTGTTTCCTGTAGCTTAGGAATTAAGATAGGAATAACCATATGCCTCTGAAATGGGAATAAAGGTAGCAGTGTTTTGACAGTGAAAACTTTAGGTCCTGTAAAAGTTTATGATAAATGCTTGCGTTTTTCTAATTTTTTAGATTTGACATGGGTGGATATATTCAATATCTAAGATGCACCTTTTATTTTTTTCAGAGCTTCTTTTATTCACGTAAGAATTTCATGAAGCCTTCCCACCAGGAGTACCCACATAGGAATTTCCAGGAAGAAGTAGAGTTTCTTAATGAAATTTTCCCAAGTAAGTTCATGAAACTTCAGCAAAGTTGTACAGCTTGTGTGAAGGGTTGATGTTACGTGAGAAGTGACAAGCAGTACAATAGGTACAGGCTGCCAGGCCGTGCATTCAGCAGTCCTTGCGTAAAAATCAAGAGCTGTTGACTGAATTTCTGCTGCTAGCTTGCCAAGATCAAAATTTAAGTCATAGTAAGCTTGACATTTAGCACCTTGTGTTAACTGAGGTCATCTTCAGACTTCTAGACAGAGTGTAGTAAATTACTCTGCAGGATCTAGCTTTCACTAACCCTAAAAGCCCTGTTCAAAAGCTAGGGTAGTAATTTAAACTAACTAATACACTGAAGAAAAATGTGGGCTTTTCTCAGAAAAGTCACTGTGCCAAATATTTAATTTAAACATTTAATAAAATTTAGTAAAGTTTAGAACTTACAGGAAGAATCTTAAATTTTAAATAGTGGCAGAAAAGTTTTTTTGAAGGAACATGGAAGCTGTGGTACTCCTCTGAGTTATTTGAAAATAAATGCAAATCATAAATGTATTTAATAGAGGCTTAAGAGTACCAGGGTTTCTCTCCATGCATAGCAAAAGCTGTAATCTGAATTTCCTGTTAGTAGACTCTCAGCTGGGGTGTCCAGACCTGCTTCTGAGGGAACCTCCTTTTCTGATTAACTTTGCATTCCTGAAGCTAAATGCCTGGTTATTTGACACAGATGCTGAGTCTATCAGTGAACCTCATGGGGTTCTGTGAAAACTTCTGTCTTTAAATATGAGATGGATATAATATTTTTCATAAATGTTCATCTGTGATGCATTAACTGGAGACTTCTTGTCTTGTCTAGATGGAGCAGCTTATTGCATGGGGCGTATGAATTCTGATTGCTGGTATGTATGTAAAGAGTTGGAAGTCTTTGGGGCTTACAGTAGAACATAACTTGGTGCTTTTAATGTATATTACATATGTGATTTGTATTTTCCATAGGTACCTGTACACTCTGGATTTCCCAGAGAGTCGGATATCCAATCAGCCTGATCAGACACTGGAAATTCTGATGAGTGAGCTTGACCCAGTAGTTATGGACCAGTTCTACATGAAAGATGGTGTTACTGCAAATGATGTCACTCGTGTATGTTTGCTTGAAAACTAATAATTTTGGGGAACGGTGGAAATCGGGCAACAAAATGCTTCATTTAATTACCATTTAATAGAAGGCTTATTTTGTGGTAGGAAAGATTTAATAGAAAATGTCAGGTTAATGCTTTAGGAGTAAAATGGATTTAACTCTAGAATGTTTTGGGGAACATAACTTCACATTTTCAATGCCCCTGCTTTAGTGTTTTGAAAGGAGCAATATGTAGTGCTTTGGATGATTGAAAACTTTTACTCTGAAAAATGGAGGAGTAGGAATGAAACCACAATTTGAGTAACTTTGACTGAAGGATGTGGATTATGAGGAGTAAGGCTTAGACTGAAGATAATGAATCCAAAGATAATCTAGGTATCAAAATCAAGGAGCCATTTGGATGGGGGGAAGGGCAGACTTGGGGTCTAAGCATAACTTGATGGTTATGCCTCCTTTTCCCCTTTTTCGAAAGGGGGAAGTCCTATGACAGGAACAAATTTCTCTGACAAATACACTGACTTCATCTTGTTTTCTGTCTTAGGCTTTGATTCTCTTATTTGCTATTGAGATTTGGATGTACCTCAGGTGCTTGGGATTGCACTTTTATTCTAGAGTATAAAGTAGCATATCCTTACTCTGGAGTAAATGTAAATAGTCTTCACTTCCTGGACAGTGGTTGAACAGAAGCTCCACTTGCCATTTCAGCAGCAAAAGCAACTGTTTTAGAATTCTAAGCTTTTCCCTTGTCTTGGATGTATGCAGCTTGGTTCTGTAAGAGGCAGTGTAATAAATGTGTGACAAGCTGCATACAAGTTATTTGGTGACAGGATGCAAAACAAGTTCATCTACAGTGGTACAAATTATCAAACTGACTTGTTCTTGGGAGAACTCTGATGTCCTGCCCCCTGAATGTTGGTTCTACCTTTTGAGTGAAATCTAAACAAATGTAAGGATGTATCATAAACTGAGTTGTTTAATTCTGACTTCTATTTCAGATGAGTGGAATTCGTGACCTGATACCAGGTTCTGTTATTGATGCTACAATGTTCAATCCTTGTGGGTATTCAATGAATGGGATGAAATCGGATGTAAGTTTTGCACTCATTGATAATTAACATACTGATAATTAATAAATATTTGGTGGTAACAATACTTTTTTTTTCAGGGAACTTACTGGACTATTCACATCACTCCAGAACCAGAGTTTTCTTATGTTAGTTTTGAAACAAACATAAGTCAGACCTCTTATGATGACCTGATTAGAAAAGTTGTGGAGGTTTTCAAGCCAGGAAAATTTGTGACAACCCTCTTTGTTAATCAGGTGAGTTTTCTTGCTTTAGCTTGTGAGCTTATGAAATGCACACAGACACAAATAAAGCAAAGCTAGAGATTTTTAGTGGTGATTAGGTTTCCAGTTTGCCTTTATATTGGGATGGTAGGTTCTTCAGAAAGTAGAAATACTCTTCACTATTGCTTTGGCATATACTAAATCTGATCTCCAGAGTTCTTCAGAAATACTAAGAGGCAACCCAGTCTCAGTATTCTAATGACTTCCTGTGCCATTCTTTATGGGCATAATTTCTTGCTTTGGCACTTTTCTGGATTTGCCTGCAGCTGTCAGTTGTAGAAGTGCTGCTATTAATGGTGATGCTGCCAGCTGTCATAGAACCATAGAGTGTTTTGGGTTGGGAGAGGCCTTAAAGATCATTTAGTTCCAACCCCCCCCGCCATAGGCAGGGATGCCTTTCACTAGACCAGGTTGCTCAGAGCCCCATCCAACCTGGCCTTGAACACTTCTGGGGATGGGACATCTGCAACTTCCCTGGACAACCTGTTCCAGTGCCTCACTACTCTCATAGCAATGAATTTCTTCCTAATATCTAGTCTGAACCCACCCTCTTTCAGTTTAAAGCTGTTCCCCTTTGTCCTATCACTAATGCCCTTGTTAAAATGTTCCTCTCCAGTTCTTTTGTAACCCCTTTTAGGTACTGGCAGGCTGCTTAAAGGTCTTCCACAAGCCTTCTCTTCTCCAGGCTGAGCAACCCCAACTCCTTTCAGCCTGTCTCTGTAGGAGAGGTGCTCCATCCCCTGTAATGGTTTGCAGCATCACATGTAGGGAGCAGAATCGCTGCTTGGGAATGAAACTCCCTGCAGCACTGTCAGGCACAGATTTGAAGCATGTTGGTAATAAGTATCACAAGAACTACATATGAAATACATAGTATGCTAGTCCATCTTTAAATGCCAGTTTAAAAATAACTTTTACCTTTTTGTTTTCTAGAGCTCTAAATGTCGCACAGTGTTTTCCTCTGCCCAGAAGATTGAAGGGTTTAAACGTCTTGATCACCAGATTGCCCAATTCAGTGATTATAATTTTGTTTTTACCAGTTTTACAAAAAATCGCCAGCAACAGCATAGTTGATTAAAAATGAAGAAAAAGCGCAAAAAGAAATCCCATATAGAAGGTGGTGGTTGCTTTCTAGTTAATGATTCAGGGGGCCATGTTTTCCACTCCCACCACCTTGTAGTTTTGGAAAGCCCTAGGTGTAATCTTAGTATAACCATTTTGAATTGTATGCATTATTATATCAAGGAGTTAGATATCTTGCATGAATGCTCTCTTCTGTGTTTAGGTACTCTATGCCACTCTTGCTGTGAAATTGAAGTGCATGTAGAAAAATCTTACTGTATGAAACTTTACAACACTTGTAAAAATGATTCAGGTAGAATTACACACAATATAGTTTTTCTCCAGGTATCACCAAAAATTCCCCACAGACAAGGCTTTCGTCCTCATTAGACTTTAGCCTCAACCTACTCACTGGGGACAGTTCTCTGTTAAATTGTTGCTCTGTTTTTGTTTTTTTTCATCTATGTTGTGATTTCAGTCTAAAACAGTTTTTGACAAACTTCTATGATTTCTAATGAAACTGATTCTTAACACTTTCATGTTTGGAGAAAGTTCTTAAAACAGTTACAAATTGTTTTGCTACTACAGGTGGTGGTTGATTTATTTTTAAATCAGACTGACTTTTCATGCTCTAATAAAGCTTATAGGAATTTGCTCAGCTCTACTGTAGCACTGGGCTAATACATTGGTCTTTCACCTTTAGTAACTTGGGTATCGGTACTAGTGCAGGCTAAAATTTGTCTTACCTTAATGCTCATTTATCTATCCACAATCCCAAGCTGTCACACCGCTACACAACAGAATTTGAAGAAGGTCCAAGCCTTGATTAGAGGAAGAGCAGAGCCAGAATGCAAGTGCTTTGGCATAGTTGTGTGACAGCTTTGCAAAGTGCAAGTTCGTGTTGGCACCAGACATTTTCTGTCCTAATCACCTGTTATGTCAGACTAAGAAGTTGGTGCTTTTGAGCACTGGCAGGTAAATATGGTGGAGGAGTGGAATTTGCCAGTCTGGATGTGTTGATTGGTTTGGATTATTCTCAGTAAAACCCATGACCTACTACTCCTAACTGTAAAGAGTGCTTCTAAACTGGTCCAGTGTCTCTTCATTTTGTTGTTCCAAGCAAAGCTAATGCCTCTATCTTGTGAAAGTCCTGTGACATAGTTGTGCATGTGACTTATGTTGTATTTGAGTGTTGTGACTTCATCTGTTTTTTCCTCCTAATTGCGAAGGTGGTTCCTCTTACTGTGACTTGAGGGCATTAAGTGAAGGCATAGAACAAGAACTGTCTGGGACATCTGGACAGCAGTGAAGTAGAATGCTATTCATGGAGCATGAATAAGTCACTTCAATGGGTATTGACTAAAATGCAGGCTTTAAAGAGCTGGCACCCTTTCAGCTGTGTTTGCAAATACTGGGATTTTAACAGCTGCGAGACCAGCGTGTTAACTACAAAATTGAGATATTTCCCCCCCCCCCCCTTTCCCTTGCAATGTTTTGACTCTTTCTGGTTTGATGCGATGGTTTTTTTGTTCCTTCCATATTTATAAATGAAGCACTTTTTCAGTGTTTCTAAACTGAAGTCTACTTGGTTAGAAATCAAGTGGTTGGAACATTTGGATTTTTTTTATATTTTAAGCATATTATTGATGTTCTTTACCAATATTATCAATTACATGCTGTAAATGGCACTAAAGCTTTTTGGTGTTAATATTGAGGACCAATATTTGTGGTTTTTTGTTCTTACATTGTCCCAATTGTTCTGACATTGGTTGGCTTGAGGTCCTTTAAGTAGACTGAGGTACCCTTTCCAAGTAATACTGAAATACACGTTTTAAAAAAAGAAGCATAAGCCTCGGCTATAAAAATGAAAGCTGTTGAATGGGTTATTGAACTATCTGGGTGATCAGGATGGGGGGAGTATGGTGTTTATAATTTCTGTGGTGTTAGACTTTGATCATTTAAAAATATCTGTACCACAACTTAACGCTTCAATAAAAGTTGGCTTAAATTGTTTGCAGTGATGATCCAGTAATTCTACCCTTAACTGTTTTCATGCCTTTTGGTACCAAATGGTTTAATTCTGAAATACATTTATGTCCTTATTGTCCTAATTTACTTTAGATTTGCTTTGCCCTTGTAGGGGATGCATCTCCACAGTTAGCACACTGGTAGTTTTAAATGAGGCAGTATGTCAAAGCCAAATGCAAATGTTATGCTGTTGTTGAGGCTAAAACTTTTTCTAAATGAACACAAAAATTTGCCATCTTCATCTAACCTGTATTTTTTCTTCAGCATTAAATATTTTAAATAGTCCTCTGAATTCAGACAGCTCCTGTTTCTAAGTAAAAAACTGGCATACATTTAGGGTACTTAATTAGACTGAGAGTTCAAGGTGAGGTTTGTCTCTTAAAACAAAGGAGGCATGTATCTGGGTAGTAACCTAGACTAGAAGCTAGTGGCTTCTGATGTCACTGCTAAGCAGATGCAACCAGCATAAGTGAAGATTCCTTGAGTTCATGTGACTTAGTCCTTCAGGAATAGTAGCTGGAATTTACCCTCAAAGCTCTAACAATGCTGATATCCCCCAAAGTCACCTAAGTAGGGAAAACTTGTGTTAGTATTGGAGCTCTAACACCTTCAAACTGTTCAGTTCTGAATACAGGTTTCATCAGTCACCCAGAATCTTATCTGTGATGTTACATGTTTCTAATTGTGCTCTAGGTATTAAATAGTAGCTTCTAGTTATTTCAAGTACTTACGACTGTTGAAAATGACCTACTAACTCCTCTATGAAAATAAGAAATTCCAACTTGCAGCATCAAGAGATCCTGTCTAACGATCTCAGCTGTAACAGGTTAGCAGTAATCTACCTCTGAAGAACTGTTTTCTAGACTGACCTCCACAAACTGAAGATTCATCTTCATATTTTTGTTTTAACTCGCTTTGCCTGAAGTTTACAGGTTTCATGTGAAATTACTTCTCATCTTCACATTTTTTACCTCAGGAGTGTCCTTCAATAATGCTCCTTTACCCCCTCTCCTGTAAAGGGTGCTTGATAGTTGACCTGAGAATGTGGTGCCTACATAATCCTATCCATTACAGCAATACAAATGCAAAGCTTCCTGTAGTTATTAGCTCCTTGATATTTGTATTTCTCATAAACCAGTGGAGGAAATGGCACTGTGGCTGTAAGTCCACGTGCCCACTTAATTTCTGTGAATAAATCAATCGAACAGCTATTCTAGAGGGGTAGGAAAGACTTTCCTCAGATGACTTACTGTCAGATGACAGCCAAAGGAGCACTAAGCACAAAAAGAGGGCTAAGGAGGATCTCCACTCTTTACTGGATGTGGGGGGGAACATAATGGCAAAGGGCAAGGAAAAAGCTGAGGTACTTAATGCCTTCTTTACCTCAGTCTCCAAAATAAGAGCTTTTGCTCTCTGGATACCCAGTCCCCTGAGCTGGAAGACAGGGGCTGGAATCAAGCTTCCCATAATCCAGGAGGAAAGGGTTACTGTTACTGACTTGCTACACCACTTAAAAACACACAAGTCAATGTGGTCAGATGGGATCTAAAGGTACTGAGGGAGCTGGTGAAAGACCTCGCCAAGCCACTTTGAATCATTTAGCAGCGGTCTTGGGCAGGTCCCAGTTGGCTGGAGGGTAGCAAACATGATGCCCATCTACAAGGGCCAGAATGAGGATCTGTGTAATTATGGGCATGTCAGCCTGACCCTGGTGCCAGGGAAGGTCATGGAGCAGATAATCTTGAGCATTGTCACATGGCATGTACAGGACAACCAGACCCAGACAAGCACGGATTTGTGAATGGCAGGTCCTTGACCAGCCTGATCTCCATCTGTGACAAGGTGACCTGCACAGTGGAGGAGGGAAAGGTTGTGGATGGTGTTGGTCTGGACTTCAGTGAAGCCTTTGATGTTGTGTCCCACAGCATTCTCCTGCAGAAACTGACTGCTTATGGCTTGGATGGATGCACTGTTTGCTGGGTAAAAACCTGGCTGGATGGCCAGGCCAAGAGAGTGTTGGTGAATAGTGCTGGTGGCTGGTCACTAGTGATGTTCCCCAGGGCTCAGTGTTGGAACGACTCCTGTTTAGTATCTTCACTGATGATCTGGATGATGGGATGGAGTGCTCCCTCTGTCAGTTTGCGGACTGCACCAAGTTGGGTGGGAATGTTGATCTGCTGGAGAGTTCTGAAGAGGGACCTGGACAGGCTGGATTGATGGGGTTCAACAACATCAAGGGCTGGGTTGTGCACTTGTCACCTCAACCTCAGGCAGTGCTACAGTCTGAGGAAATAGTGGCTGGAAAGTGTCTCAGTGGAAAAGGACCTGGTGGTGCTAGTTGACAGCAACTGAACATGAGCCAGCAGTGTGCCCAAGTGGCCAAGAAAGCCATTGGCTTCCTGGCTTGTATCACAAATTGTGTGACCAGCAGGATCAGGGAAGTGGTAGTCCCTCTGTACTCAGCACTGGTGAGACCTATGTACCTTGACTACTGTGCTGAGTTTTGGGCCCCTCAGTACAAGAAAGATATCGAGGTGCTCCAGCATCCAGAGAAGGGCAATGGAGCTGGAGTACAAGTCCATTGAAGTGTGGCTGAGGGAGCTGAGATTGTTTAACCTAGAAAAAAGGAGTTTCAGGGGGGATCTTAATGCTTTCTACAACTACCTGAAAGGAGGTGGTTAGTCTCTTCTCCCATATAACAAGTGTCAGGATGAGAGGAAATTACTTCAAGTTGCCCTAGGGGAAGTTTAGATGCAATATTAGGAAAATATTTCTTCATGGAAAGGGTGGTCAGGCTGTCTGAGGAACTGGTGGAACCACTATCCCTGGAAGTATTCAGGAAACATTTAGAGGTGGCACCTGGGGACGTGGTTTAGTGGTGGACTCTAGCAATGCTGGGTAAATGGTTCAACTCTGTGATCTTAGAGGTCTTTTCCAGCCCTAACGGTTCTATGAATCCCATCCAGTCCCATGGGCTTGTGAGGTCCAGCTTTTAATAGTCTCTAACTTGATGCTGCCTGTAGTGTATGGAGCACATCTCATTCCACAAACTACTACTATGAACAAAGACCTGTGTGATGAAGAGGAGACTGACTCAGTGAAGACTGACATTCAGTAGAAGGCACTTGAGTATATCAGGATTTTTTTCTGGTGCTCAGTCACTTCCTTGATTCAGCAGTCTTAAAAACTGAACTTGGCTAGTTTAGTTTTATCTCTGCCTAGGAAAGGCTTTATATTTTCTTTTGATAGCCTGTCCTTCCTTCCATTTGGACTTTCTGCACTTGAACTCAGTTTGGAGTGATGAGTGCTGCAGTCATGGTGTCCCAAGAAAAGAGATGTGCTTAAAAAAGGTAATAGAAGCAATTGAAAGTCCAAGAACTGAACAATACTGATGGTTGCAAAGCTGGGGGGGGGAATCTCATCCCATGGCAGGGGATTT